CGCGCGGGCGGGTGGGGGCGCGCTAGGACCCAGCCGCGGCCGTCGGTCCGTCCGTCGGGTGGGGCTGGAGCGCGGCGCTGGCATTTCGCTCCTTCCCGCGTGAATGGGGCCGACGGTCGGACGCCGCTTCCTCGGGCCGCCCAACTCTCTGCGCGGCAGCTGCGTTCCCGCCGCGTGGGACTGAACGGGCCATGGTCGCCCCATGTGGAGGGCAAAGTTGCGCCGGGGAACTGGCGAGCCTGCGGTGAAAGGTAACCGGCCTGCGGTGCCGGGCGCCCCAAGCCTCGAGGCCAAGGGCCCTGCGGTCCGGCGCGCCCGCGCCCTCGCTGCTCCGGGCTGGTCCCGCGACCGGGCCGAGGCCGGCCGGCTCCACACGTGGCGACTAGGGCGGCTGATGGGGCGCTGCGTCCCGAGTATCCGCCAGGGGACCCGGCTGGGCGAGAGGGGGCGGGAGAGGCGACCCCGGCGCCCCGGCACCCACCGGCCAGACTCAGCGCGCCCCGCGCCCCGCCAGAGGCCGAGAGCTCGTGCCTTGCGCCCGGACTCGGGGTGCGGAGGTGGGCGCGCCCCCAGCAGGGGCTTTCCGGAGGGGCGCTGCCTCAGGCCTGGACCCCAAGACGCCCGCGGGGGTCTCCGGGCGCCGAGGGAGGGGCGGGAGGGGAGTCGGGGCGCTGCCCTAAACGAGACAAAGGCGCCCGGGCCGTTCCGGGGCGGGCCGCGGGCCCGGCTCAGAGTGGGGCGGCTGTGGGGTCGCACCCGGATCCCGAGCCTGGAACGCGCGGCCCACTCGGTCCCTCCGTCCTCCTTTGTTCTCCCGACAAGTTTCTTGGGCAAGCCCGGAGTTAGGTCTGGCTTTCCGGAGCCTGTTCGTGCAGCCTCTGAAAGAATGTGGGTTTTGGGGGGAGGAAGGCGGAGGAATTAAACTTTCCAAGTCGAACTGGTTGCTGGTTTTTCTTGGAATGTGACATTTGTGGCAGGAGGGCGCCTGGCGCCTCGCGTTGACAGCCGCGCGGAGCCGAACGCGCCCGGAGGCGGCGGGGGGCGCTCAGGGTGGGGGGCCACGCCAGGACCCAGCCCGCGCGGCCGTCCCCGAGCTCCCCCCAGCCCGGCCGGCTGCGGGCTCCGCCGCGGCTCTCGCTCGCTGGGCTCGCCTACTCTTCACGCTGTCCTGCTCTTTGCAATTTTGTTGGAAGTTGTTGGCCTTTTTGTCTTCAGTGGGATTCACTGTTTCTAAATGGCAAATGGTATTGTGTGGACCATCCAGACCATAGCTCCTTCAGGGAGAGCTGGGGACTGAGCCTCTGGCCTTCTGAAGCTTTGACGTTTGCACGGAATCTTTTGTCCTCTTGGACCTCAGCTCCCGTATCCTGTGACCGCACTGTTGGCCCTCTGAAACATTTATGAAAAGCAAGTGTTTGCTTGCTTGTTAAAGACCTTGGCTTTGGTGGGGACAGAGGGTCACGAGGCATTTGTGATACCTCGAAGATGCTTTTGAGTATCCAGTACGTTAATTTGCTCACCATAAACAAATGAATTCATAGTACTTAATAACCAGAGGCAGGCAGTTTCCTTCCTTTTCAGGGAGCGAAGGGCCAGGGCTTGACGTGTGGCTCCCAACGTCCAAAACGGGCTGGGCCCAGCCACAGTGACCGAGATTTCTCCGGGCTGCCTACTGCTCCTGGGCCAGGCAGCTAGGTTTGTCGAACTCAGGTTCACACTTTAGGGATCTCTTTTTAAAGAGTTCTGAAACAATCGGGAGCAAAAATAAGATTTACTTCCTAGATTTTTATAACTATAATCTGAGCATCAGTCTAGACAGGGTATCAGTCTACTATGAACGTTGCTTGTGAGAAGGTGGGAACTCTGTGAACTATTTTGAAGGAGAAAGGGCCAAAAAAGCTGATTTGATCGGAGTGGAAGGACTGGCCCTAGGCTAGAAGGGCTGGAGCCTGCTCTCCCCTGGGCGGTCTGGTGGTGAGGAGGAGGAGGTTTAAATCGGGGCAGATTTTCGCCATTGGTTGATACGGTTTTCAAGACAAATAGGGAATGCCTCATAAACCCGCAGGGGGCCATGGCAGGGAAGGTCTAACAATGTAAACCCCTCTTCCTTCCCCTCCTTTTAAAATGAACACAAGTCCAGGTCTTTCAGGTGAAGGTTCTCTGGAGGTTGGAGAAGGCCCATGGAAGTGTGGAGATCAAAACGTTTCAAAATATGTATCTTTTCATGGAAGATAATGGATGACTTTTGGTTTAAATGAAATTTTAAAGTACTGTTGTGAAGAAGAGCCCATGAATGCAGCAAGGCGAAGGGTTTGTGGGAAGGCACTGTTCTGATTAGACGCGAGGGCCTGCCTGCCCCTGGCCAACCAGGCTGGACCTTCTCTGGTAGAGCTCTCCTCTTTCACTGAACCCCGTGGGAGACGGCAGCCAAGCTCTCTGAGGTTAGGGTCTGTCTGAGAGCTCTGGCGCAGATTACAGCCTGCAGATACTGTGCAGTGTTCCTTCATAGTGCTCTGTAGAAGGGCTTTGAAAACGATAAAGCACGATACTGTCTAACACAAGACTTTTAAAAAATAGTGACATGAAGTACTGCTGAAAATATGATTTTTTAGGCTAGCAAGGTAAGCTTCGTTAAATCTGTATTTCTGATGCAAAATTCACCCACACAGACACTCTGTGTTGCCGTTATCCATGCTTTGAATGCATATGGAGGTTCAGGTCAGGAACTTTGGCCGTGTTTTAAATAATCTTTTTCGTTGTTTTCTACTGGCTGGAGGCTTCTTATGACCAAGAATTAGAAGATAATGCAATTCTTGAAAATCGGGGTGGCATGGAGGTCAAGAAAGAAGACATATTTGATTACAAGGTTTGTTGGAAATTGTTGTCTGAGGTTGTTGAGGTTTTTCTGTTTGTTTGCCTAGTGATTTTGTTTTTTTATATTTTGTTGGTTTGACTTTGTTTTGTCTTAGAGGAAAGGCACAGTGTAAGTCCTGGCCCTTGTAGTAGGTCAGCACACACTTTGCTGCAAGGAAGCCACTTCTGCTCCTGGCTTTTGTGTTGGCACCAGGCTCCTGTCACCTCTCCAGTCACCTAGGAAGGCCTTGACTTTGCTTTGGGGCCAACCCTTTGAAATCTTAGGCTGCAGTTATTTTAGCCTCTCAGGCCAGAACTCTGGGCTCTCAAAGGGATTCACATCTGGCACTTTTCCCACCAGTTTTAGGAGTGGGGGAGTCAAGTGTTCACAGATATATCCCTGTTAAGATTCTGCAGAATTAGAAGTAACTTTAAAAACTAGTCAGTGCCTTATAGTGTATGTTTAAATCTATGTTGGGACCTCCCTAGTCAGTATTATAGCTATATACTTTTTGTTTGTCATTTTGAGTAGAGTGTCTATAGTTTGCTTGTTTTTCTTTTAAGTTTTAATTTTGAAACAATCTACACTCATAGGAAGTTGCAAAAATAGCAGAGCGGACCTGTGTTCCCTTCGCCCCCCAGGGGTAGCATCTTACATAACTGCATTACAACAGCAGAACCAGGACGCTGGTGCCATGCGGTCCTCAGAGTGTGTTCACAACTCACTGGCTTTGCAGACACACAATTCTGTGTGTGTGTGTGTACACTTCAGTGCAACTTTTCACATGTGAAGATTCATGTTACCACTGCTACGAAGAAGATACACAAGTGTTCCATCACTTCCTGGGTCCCGCTGGTGCTCCCCATTTAGAGCCCTGCCTCCTTATCCCCCAGCCCCTCCGGCCTTGAGTGTGAGGAGCACCTGTCTGTTCCACGTACCTATAGTTTTGTCAGCATGCTGGCACTGTGTGACCAGAGCCATCTGCTGTGTGACTTTTACTGTGCGTGATGTCCTTGAGACTCGTTGGGACTCTTGCTTGCTGAGTAGCCTTCCATGGCGTGGTGTTTGCGACTGTTGCACAAGAAGGTTTTATGAGCATGTGTGTATAGCTTCTGTGAGGACGTAAGCTTTCACTTCCCTGGCATGCGAGTGCCCAGGAGTATGATGGCTGCATGTTAGGGTTAGTTTTTAAATAAACTACTAAACTGTTTATAAGAGCGGTTGTACCACTTCATGTTCCTACAGCACTGTACGAGAGCTGGCTGCCATAGGTCTTCACCAGCATTTGTTGTCCCTGTTATTTATCTTAGCTGTCCCAATAAGGGTTTTAACAAGTGTTTCATCTCATTGTGGTTTTAGTTTGCATTTCTTGTTGGCTAATGATAGTGAACTGTTTCATGTGCTTATCTGCCATCCTTAGGTCCTCGTTGCTAAAGTATCCATTTATGGGGCTGGTGAGATAGCTCAGTGGTCTGAAGCGCCTGCTTAGGCAAGCTTAGGTAGGCTCAGAGGACCACAGTTTGATTCCCAGCACCACATAAGGTGCCAGCCCCACCTTCAGGGTAGGCTGAACCAGCAATAAATAAGTAAACAAAATAAAATAGCCATTTATGTCTTTGGTGCATTTTCTAATTGAATTACTATTTTACTGCTGAGCTTTGAGGGTTCTTGATATAGCTTAGATATGAGTCCTCTTTTAGTTATATGGCATTTATATTTATATTTACCATTATGCAGCTTGTTTATTCTCTTTCCAGGACCTATTTGCAGAGCAAATTTTTATATTTTTAATTCTGATAAACTCCAGTTTATGGTTTTTTTTCTTTTTCTTTTTTTTTTTTTTTTTTGTGATTTTCATAGATTGTGCTTTTTGTGTCCTATCTGAGGACATTTCATCTAGACCTATGTCCCAAAGATTTTTCTCCTGCTTTCTAAAAGTTTTGCATTAAAATGGTAGTTCACTTTTAACCCTCTTCAGATTTTCCTTGGCTGGTTGCAGATCCGTGAGGTGCTGATTACGTACCTCAGGTCCCATGAGCGTGCAGATGGACTCTCAGGCGTAGTTCCCACTCTGGAGAGCCCACAGATCAGTGGTTGCAATGCAGACATTACCTAATGTGTTACGTGCTCTAATAGAGATGTGAGGTGGGGCCTCTGAGCAGCGAGCCTCTCTGGTCCAGGTGGTCCAGAAGGGCTTCTTGGGCCTGTTGCGCACACATGGTGAGAAGATGAGTTTTGCCTTTGATCTCCTTTTGGATGTCTTCACTGCATGAGTCCTTTGGTGTGAGTCATTCTGATTCTCGAGCATAGGCTGAAGGACTTGGGCTAACTGGAGCGAATGGCACGTCTTTGAAAGGCACATGACGTGATGGCTTAAAACATATTTGAAGAACATGGTGCTTAAGACTCAGTAATATAATGAGTGTAAGTAAAGTTGAATGGATTGAGTTAAAACATATGTTAAATAAAAAAGGAGGTAAAATTTTGGATGAAGAACAATACCCTCAGTTGGCTTCCTGGTGCTGCCACCTCCTTGCTCTGGGACCTCAGGGAATTGTACCTGTTGAAGCCTCCTGGGTAAAAATCTGAGGAGCAGTAAGTCTTACATCACAGTGCGTGAGGGTAAGATACAATAATGCATTATAACGCTTAGCATAGTACTAGATACACTGAAAGTCCTCAGTAAATACCTATCATTATTAAACCAATTGGAAGATAAATCATTTTATAAGGTTATATGTGTTCTCATATGTCTTTTCTCTGAGGCACTAGACTCTTAGTTTTTATTATGGGAGCTAACCATTTTGTAGCTGGGCACTGTTTAGTGAACCAAATATTATTTATCAAATGAGATTACAAGCGAGGATTATGCAGTTATCATATAGTACTGACTATAATGTTTCCCACCTTAAAAACTAAGATTTTTCTGAGTAAAAAAGGGCATTTTCTGTACATGGAACACAGGAGGTAGCAGAAGGAGATATGTTTGTTGTTCTGATGCTAGTTTAGAGTATATGTTGCTGTTTATCCCAAGTATAGCAAGTTGGAGCTGATGTCGCCAGCACAGGTTCCAAACTGAAGCCCCACTTTCTTTTCCTCAGTGACCAAATTGTTTTTCACAGGAAACTGATGGATCCTTAGGTGCACAACCCTGGGGCAGTGCCAACACCAGTGAGCATCCAGCCATCAGGAGAGCTCACTCACAGGGTGCTGAGCTCAGTCCAGAGACTGCGCTCCCAGTGATGGCTGATGCTGCTCATCCTGGGACCACACTCCGAGAACTCGGTGTGTTAGGAAATGTTCAGAGCTCACTCACGGAGTGCTGGGCTCAGTCCCAAGACTGCGCTCCCAGTGATGGCTGGCGCTACCTGTCCCAGGACCACTCTCTGAGAACTCGGTGTGTTAGGGCATGTGGAGAACTCATTCACAGGGTGCTGGCTCAGTCCCAAGCCTGCGCTCCCAGTGATGGCTGGCGCTACCTGTCCCAGGACCACTCTCCGAGAACTCAGTACTTTAAGGCACTCTTTAAATTAGAGCTAGATTAAGTGCTTACCCTGTTCATCTATAAGTGGCTGAGTTGGAAACAGATTGGTTTGTAAGGTGGTTAGTTGCTGTGTGTCACTCTTTTCTGTCTTCTAGTCAGTCTTCTTCCATGACTCACTCCGCTTGTTCTTAACCACTCTCAGTTATCTCTTGCTACTTAGAGGACATGCTATGATTGGGTCTGGGCTACTGCCGAAAAGCCACACTGCCTTGGGTAAGCCACTTAGTCTCGATAAAATAAGTGTATTTGCTAAATACTCAAGGTTGTTTTGATTCATAAATGAGATAGTGAGTATGAAAGGCCTATATAAGAACTAAAGCATAGTGCAAAACAGTTTTCTTTTAAAACAGTTTCGATACTTTGTACATCCATAATGTTTCTTTGGAGCCTGTCTTGGACCTGGAGTAGACTGACTCTCCTGATGATAAGGGCACACATGGTAATGACTGCGTAGAAATCAGCAGAGACGTGATGGAGAAGGCTCTGAAATGGTTGGACAGTTAGACCGAGGTGCTGGAGGGCTTTCTCAGCTTGGGTGTTTTGGAGACACACTGGGGAAGTGTAATGACCAAAGAAGAGCTCAGTGCTGGGAAATCATTTGAGCAGATACTGGAATGTTGAGAGACCAGTTTCTTGCAGTAGAGAAATACAATTCTATGTAGTTTTCCCCCCAGGCAGTTAGGGCAAATGGGATCTGGTCTATTCTCTGAAGACCTAGACTTGTACATTTCATACTAATTTCTAGTCACCTGTAGCTATTTAAATTAATGAACAGCTAAAACTTCAGGCCTTCAGTCATGCTAATCACAGTTCAAGTAATAGCCATTTCCATCCCTGCTCCCATTTCTTTTGGCTAGTGAGATTGCCTCTTGTTTTCTGATGGCAGTACTCTTCAGATTAAATGATGGGACCGGGATACCACTTGTTCTTTGGAAGTCTGGTATGACCTGGGGGGGAGAAAGTACCATAGGTGAGTGCCAGAACCTCATTCAGCCCCTTGTTGCATTTGGTTCACTTCACTGGACAGTGGGTCAGGGGCAGGAACAGAGCTTGTCAGGCCATTATCAAGAGGTGGTTTTAGTTTCTGGAGATGTTTGCCCTTGAGATTCTCCTAGGGATCTGATGGTCCTTGAGAGAAGCAAATAGAAATCGTTGAGTGAAGGAAGACTCATAGGTCGCTTTTTGGGAGATTGTTGAAGGGCTGCCTGGCTGCCTCCATTCTGAATCTGTTCCACAGGTGAATAAGAGGTCAGCCGGAGGTAGGAATGGTTCTTGCTCATCTCCCTAGCATTTGGTCTCTCTCTCATGACATTCCATCCTGCATCATTCTAACTGCTGTCCCCCTCGAAGTGATCTGTAAACTGCAAAGACCCTCTCTTTGTCCTCCCTACAGTCTCTCAGTCCTTGTGGCTGACCTCCGAAGCACTCCTAAATACTTTCTCTTCTTTTGTATGTCTCTGTGATCCATCTGGTTTGAGTGCTCATTCATTACCTGAACTTCTGTGTGGGATAACAACCCACTTGTCAGGCCTTCTTGCTTCTTTTCTCTTATAGCTCTTCAGGTCTATTCTGTCCTTCCTTCCTTTCCCTTGTCTCCCTTTTTCTCCACTCTTCTGAGAACTGGCTGAGCAAGACAGGGATGATAGATATTTTGTCTTCCAGGCCCTCTTTGCTTCCCCTAAAGGATATGGGGCTGCTCATAAACCCCATGGCCAAGTGCTAGGGAAGAAGGAGGCATTTCACATTCAGCTGCTGCTGCTTAACTATAAGAGTTAGGTGCATGACTTAGGGATGTGTTCCCCAAAAGCAGGTGTGAAGGAGGTCTCCTCTTTCCAACATAGACTGGAGTCTGAAGGACTCTGAGAGCCCTATCTACCTAGGAGACATTGGAAAGGAGAGAACGCAAAATTCCCTGTTGAGAGCCTGTTTACCCTGGGACTAGTCCTTAAGTATCACTGCAGTTGGACCCCTTGTCACTTGGTAATGGGGGGAAAGTTGAAAGACATAAGGGCAAGCAAAGAGAGTAGAAATGTACTTTTTCAGAATCCTGGGAGGAGAAGGCAGGATATGTTCACGGCACTCAGCAGTCGCTTCATTGCAGATCACATGTAAAGTCATCCTCTTCTCTGAAGAGAGAAACGGCTAGTGATCTTTTATCTAGAAGAGTCAAGGAAAATGCCCACAACAACACAAGCCTGAATTAAGATATCTGAAATGTAATATAAAAGTATCACAGAACTATTATCAAAGACCTTGAAGATAATGAGGGTGTCAGATTTGTATAACAGGTTTCTTAAAGCATATAATCTGATTGGATTTATCTTCCCATGGAATTGACTGGCCTAGTAAAATTAAAAAAAAAAAAAAAAAAAAAAAAGTTGGTGGGGAGCTTGAACAGTGGTGAAGAAATTCACATTAGCTGACTATTAGATTTGTTCCTGTGAGGTGTACCTAAAAATGTATTAATAAGTGTATAGAAAGGTCTACTCTGAGATGTGGATTTTCTTAGCTCTGAATGCAGACATAAAATGTTCATGAATTCTGAAATTTCTTCAACTTTCTCCAAAATAAATTCCAGTAGTTTTGAGAAAATAATTGGAATAAATACAAATACTTATATTTTGGTGGTGTTAAATTAAGTAGCTAAGATCATTTTAATAATTTAGGAACACAAAATAAGTTACGTGTAATTAAGTTTACTTACAGGTTTTTTTTTTTTTGTTGTTTGTTTGTTTGTTTTTTTGTTTTTTTTCAGAACCAGGGATTGAACTCAGACCCTTATACTTGCCAGGCAAGCGCTTATTCTCCTGAGCCATCTCCCTGGCCCCGCTTATAAATTTTGTAGTATGAAATTTAGTAGTTTTTTAAGGCAGTAATCAATATACTAATTGAATTTACTTTGTTTTTTTATGTATTTGGTACAGTGTATACAGGATGTACAGGGTCTCACTACGTAGATCGGACTCATAGTGTTCTTCCTGTTTTCAGCCTCCCAAGCGCTGGGATTTCAGGCATGCACCGCCATGCGCAGTCTCAATCTTCGTGTCCCAGCGCGTCCCAGGGGCGGGGCCAGCAAGCACGCCACACCAGGGATGGATACCTGGCCGCTGCACTCTGCTGAAGCAGGCGCTTTAGTCTGCAGAGCTATCTGGCCAGCCCCTACTAATTGAACTTACTTTGAATATTCAGTTTCTTACATAAAGGAAGAGAGCTCCACACTGAGCTGCATACTGAATATTAGAAGCATGATATTTCTTATTTTTGTACAGAATGTAAGTTAGGTAAATTTGGATACAGAAGCATTGATTGCTCAGTAAAATCTGTGCGAATCAACACTGAGGTGAAGAACTTTGTGAGGGTAAGACAGAAGGATATAGTTCGTACCTCTGATATTTGAGGTCTGTTATATGCCAGGTGTTTGACTAGGTGAGGAGTCTATGTCCTTTACTCTTGTGGAATTTATATTCTAAAAGGAATATAATATAGTAAGATGTTAGCAAGTCAAATGCAAATGAATCAGATGAGTCTGCTTTGAGAAGGCCAAGAACTGATTTGTAGCTAACAGCCTTTGAAGTAACTTAGTCTTGCTTTGAACCTAGTAAGAGGAAATGGATGTAAGTTACAGGTACTATGACTTTTAGAGACATGAAAGGGTTCCCTGTGGGGAGGGTGGCAAGATACAGAGACAGAGAGGCTGCAGAGCATGCTGCAGAGCAACCAGGGAGTCAGTGCAAGTGTGTGGAGACCTCATTCTAGAAACCTCTGAAGTATGATTTTAGTGTGGTCGTGGCTAGTGGTTGAGTGAGCCACATGGGCTGGTTATCCTGTGTTCCTTGTATATGTTTTTCAGAATTCAGTAATTATTTGTGAAGCTTAATGTTTCAGATGCCAGAGATGGAGACCTGTATTCACATTGTGCCTGTGTGGGTAAATCACTTAACCTCTCTGCAGAGTTTCCTTATCCATTAAATAGGGATCATAATGACATTTACCTCCAAAGATGGTTAGAATTATATAGTAGGGTTACATATTAAGCATAGTATCTGAAACCTGGAAACTTGGGAGGAGTTAGGTGTTAGCTAGCGTGTTGTCAGACTGAACTACTGTGACTTTTTATTGTGCTTTGGGACTCTGTGAACCTGCACTTCTACAAGGGCACAGCAGAGCAGCCCTGTTTCCTGTCCCACCATCCCTGGAGCTCAGGGGAAGGAATTTGGGATAAAGATGCCTGGATTATTTGGGACTGGAGTCACATTCTGGCAGCTGGCTGGGATGACTTGACAGCTTGGTCTGCAGAACAGAGTGTCTACAATACAAATTGTGTTTCCATGTGTTTGTCACAGATTTAGGTTAGCCTGAATTGAGCCTAATCTGGGGATGAATTCTGGTGTTCGAAGTCAGTCAATGATGATTTCTGGTGTTCGAAGTCAGTCAGACAGGATGGGAACTGTTCCTGCCTCAGCCTTCATGTGCTGAGATTAGAGGTATGCATCAACTTCTCGGGGAAAAATGACAAACTTAACACAAAATAAATCCTCAACTATTTTGATCACCTGGACTTTCCCTTCTTCTGGAAATGGTAATTTTTTGTCCAGCTTAAAGTAAATAGTTTTGGTGGCCATTCCTTGCAAGGCTGATCACTCTCCACCCCTTGCCTCTTGCCTCATGTAACTTTCTTTCTTTCTTTTTTCTTTTTTTTTTTTTTTTTTTTTGCGGAACTGGGGATTGAACTCAGGCCCTTGCGCTTGCCAGGGAAGCGCTTATTCCACTGAGCCATCTCAGCTTATCATTAAAAACTTCAATTAATGTGATTCAGATTTTTTTCACAGAAGTATTGTAAGTCAGGTTTGAAATCCTTGACCTAGAAGGTTTATTCAGTTATCTGTTGCACAGGATGTTAGAGAAATGTTGTAGTGAGTTTCCTAGTCAACTGTTATGAACCTGCTTTTGTTTTTTGTTTATCTTTTTTGACTGGTCCATTGAAAGACAATGTTTTGGAGGTCAAAGTAGGCTTTAAACAGCCACTTGATACTATGCATCTTAAAGAATGATAGTCTTATTGCATCCATTTGCTTACTAAAGCCTCAGATTTATTTTTTTTACAGCTGAGTAATACTCCATGGTGTAAAACACCATATCTTTTGTATCCATGCCTCAGTTGATGGGCATTTGGCTTGTTTCCGAGATTTAGCCATGACAATTGCACTGCTATAAACATGGGTGCATGTGCAACACTTTAGTATAAAGATTTCAGTTCTTTGGAAAAATATCTCAGAGGGAAATATCTGACTTGAATGGGACCTCCAATCCTAGCTTTTTGAGAAATCTCCACTCTGATTTCCATAACGGCTGTACCAGCCTGCACTCCCACCAACACTGCAGAAGGGCTCCTTTTCCCCCACAGCCTCTCCAGCATTTGTTATTGGTTGTCTTTTCAATGATAGTCATTCTTTCTCTAGTAAGATGGTATCTCAGCATTGTTTTAATTTGCATCTCTTAAAACTTTTTTTTTTTTTTTTTTAAATGTATTTAGGACAGGGTCTACAGGGTCTCACTATGTAGATCAGACTTGCAGTTTTCAGCTTCCCAAGCACTGGGATTTCAGGCGTGCACCACCATACCCAGTCGCAATCAGCATCTCAGTGCGCCCCAGGCATGGGACCAGCACAACACAACAGGGATCAAACCCCAGCCTCTGTGCTCTGCTGAAGCAGGCACTTTAGTCCCCTGAGCTACCTGGTCGGCCCTAATTTGCATTCTTGAATGACCAATGTTGTTGAATAGTTTTTCATGTATTTGTCATTTGTATTTCTTCATTTGTGAAGTGTATATTCATCTCAGATGCTCATTTTTGGATTGGGTCTTTGAATTTTGGAGGCCTGATTTTTAAAAATTCTTTATATGTTGTAGATAAAAGTCCTTTTTCTGAAGGACGATGTGCTGTAATTTTTTCTCAATTTGTGTTTTCTTTTTACTCTGTTGGTGATTTCTTTTGACATGCAGAAACTTTTCAAAAAAGATGAAATCTCAATTGTTGATTCTTTGAAGTATTTCCCGAGCAGTTTCATTTTTGTTCATGGATTTGCTACCTAGCCCTATGTCCTTCAGATTTCTGCCTACTTTTTCCTCCAGAAGATTTAGTGTTTCACTCAGTTATGTCCCAAATTTTCTGATCAAGGAGATTATGGGGCCAAAGAGGAAAGTGATCAAGGATGTAGAGTGTACCTAAGGAGAGTCACATGGAGAAAAAACATTCTCTCAGGGTTTCATAGAGAGCAAATTGGTCAAGCAATGGCCATGACTCATTCATATGGCTAATTCATATGGCTGACACTGACAAAGGATCTACAAACTGAGGTTCAGGGTCTCAGGATAAATCCTGAGGGGATTTCACTGACTTTATCAGATACAAAAGCTACATTTCTTGTTGCATAGGTCCTGCTGTACCTTGGTCTTAACCACCCAGAAGAAAAGTATAAAAATGAAGTATAAAAAGTAAAGCCATGGTGTTATGTTGAGCTGTAGGGGACTCAGGTCAACAACTTCTGACATTGCCAGTGAAGTGGAAGACCCAATACTATTATGGACTCCTGGACTCTTTTAGAATATTTTGCTGAGTTTACACACACATAATATTCAAATGATGGAACTAAACAAAAAAGGGGATACAAATGAATGACCATTTTGTATCTGTGTATTCAAAATGGTTAGAATAGATATACAGCTACAATCTCTTATTTCAATGAATAAAGGGATTTGTTCTAATAGTGTTTGTAAATAGGATATGTCTGCATCTTATCTTAACAAATAACCACTAGGAAGGCAGTATGCAATGTGTTAATTATTGGAACTGTCCTAATTTGATTTCAAACTGTCTCACTGCTATTTGTTTTTCAGTAAAATTATGGAAAAAAAAAGATTTAGTGTTTCAGTTTTAATGCTTAAATCTTTGATCCATTTTGACTGTAGTTTCGTGCATGGAGCTAGGCATGGGTATATATTAAGCCTTTGGCATGTGGAGAGCTAGTTTTCTAGCACCATTTATTGAAGAGGCTGTCTTTCTTCCAGCGAACATGTCTGGTCCCTTGGTCAAAGATACGGCGGCTGAGTGTGTTGGTCGTTGTATCTGTATCTTCGGATCTCTCACATTTATCCTCAGGCATGTTTTCTTGTGTTTGCACCAATACCATGCAGTAAATATAATCTGAAAGGTACAATAGATGCTGTGAAAGGGGAAGAATCTGTTCAATGGGAAGGAAAAACTGGGATGAGGAAAAAAGCAAAAGAAAGAGAGAAAAGTAAGTATATATGCAGAATAGTTTGGATAATTGAACTGCCAATTTCTGCTTGTCTTTTGGAAGGAGCAGTTAATGCTCAAATGTTTATTTTATTTTATTTCTGTATTTTAGGGAAAGGTCTACAGGGTATTCAGGGTTTCACTACTAGATTGGACTCGTAATGATCTGCCCGTTTACAGCCTCCCAAGAGCTGGGATTATAGGCGTGTGCCACCATGTCTCAATCTGTCTCAGTGTGCCCTGGGGGTGGGGCCGGCACAGCAGGCCAGGGATTGAACCCCCAGCCCCTGCGCCTGCTTGCAGGTGCTTTAATCTGCTGAGCTATTTGGCCAGTCCTAAATGTTGTTTTTAATTCTTGTTTTTTTCTTTTTAATTTCTTATGGCTTTTTTGTTGTTTTGTTTTTAAACCAATTTTGTGTGTTTATATCTGGTAACCTAAACAACTAATTTGAAGATAACATTTCAATTCAGCAGCCATTTTTTTGAATTCCTATCACTTTGTTTAGTGAAATTTTGTGTAGTTTCTAATGTTGGTTTTGTTTTTTTATTACTATTTTGTATTTTTTTTAAAAAAGTAATAGTTTTTTCCCTCAGTTTTGGTTGTAAAGCATTGTGGGTTTTTGTCTTTCCAAGGAAATATCACTGCTTTAATGCAGATGAGAGGCTTCTAGCTCACACCTTGCTTTCATCCTGTTGTGCCCAGGTGACCTGAGCGGAAAGTGGCAGCACACAGGAGAGTTTTTCTTACGTTAATGCTCGGGAAAGAAGACCAATCTCCTCTGGCCCTAGCACCACTGCCCAAGGTCGTCCTGGACAGGCCCAGTCTCCGGGGCAGCTAGGGGATGGCCAGGTAACCATCTGGCTTCTGCCCTCCTGGCCCTTGACTGTGTGATTCGGTGGCTTTGTATGTCAGGAGCTTTGAGTAATACCATCGAGTCTTATTTCGGTCTTTAGTAGTAGGACCACAATATTAAACTTATTTCCAGGGAAATTGTGTTTTTGGTCTTCCCAAATCCTAAATTCTTAGAGAATTGAAAATGTAGTCTAGTCTGTTAATTAGCTAAATAGTTTGAGCTGAACAAAATTCTAATAAAAGTCTTCATCTCTGATCTGTGTGACCATCTTATTGCCTTTTTTTTTTTTTTAAATAGAAGGAACACTGATTTGATCATCTCTTGAAAAGTGAATTTTACAGTGGTGATTCCTGTTGCATTTCCTATTTTAAGAAAATAAGCCTGAAATTTGGAGCAGTTACAATGGGCTATATCTCGTTCATAGCCCTTTCCGTGATCTCGTGTAATCCTTATAAGCGCCTCGTGTCTTAGGTGTTTATATTTACGTTAAGGCAATGGGCTCCAAGAAATTCAATCATTTGCTCCAGTTCACATGACTTACCAGTGGTAAAGCTGGATTCCTACACTGTTTAAGAAGCAGATTCTCTAAAACAAAAAGTATGACTCATCCTTTCTTCCCACTGGCTTCTTTCTCCTCTATCTTTATTATTCTTTAAATCTTTCTAATTCTTTGGTCTTTTGGCTTGATAACATCACTTCCTTTCTTCTTCTGTCATCTTGTTTCAACATCCTTTTGTCCAAGGATAGCCAGGCTTCCTGCTTGACAAGTTATTTCATTTTCTTTTGTCCCTACTCTAAATGTCATATCTGGGAGCCCCCACAGCCCCCAAATGCTCATTATTGATTTGTACTCCCTTTAAATTCCTCCAGGGCAAGAAGGCGCCTTCAGATGCACTTTGATTAGCAGGGATCTATTCACTTAACAAAGAGAGCTCAGCAGTGCTTTACCTCAAAGGGCTGCAGTCTTCTTTAGGTTTCACTGATTTCCTGACCTCAGGGCATCCTCCTTTGCCTGAGCAGGGAGGTAGATGACTCACTCTCAGTTTTGGTTTTCATCCTTAGATTCTTAAGTTTTGTGTCTTCTAGATTTTCTCCACGGAAGCAGCTGTGAAGTGTAGAAGAGCATCTCTCAAAGAATTCTTTGTGAAGAGTCTGACCTGAACACTACCTTTTCAGTAATACTAACACATGTGCACTTTTTTCACTGTGTTCATATTAGCGCTGACGGTGCAAGAGTAATTGTGGGAAACACTG